GGAGCCTCCATCACATCCCCCCTCAAACCAAACTCAAAGGCTTAGGTCACACTTGGACTTCAATGATGGCAGAGCAAGAAAACAAAAACTCAGATTGCCAATTGCCCTTCTCAGGACCCTGGCAAGTGTTGCAATTCAACAGGGAAATGAGCAGTCACGAAGTGTTGATGTACCGGTTAAGGAGCTTCGGTGGTTTGCAAAATGTGACACTCAGTCTTCAGAGGCCCAGGACTGAAAATTCTGTTCTCAGAGGCCTGTCTGCTGGGCTCGCCCAGGCAGGGGGGTTGCCAGGCGACGTGGCTGCAGCAGGAACTGGTAAAGATGGGGTGAAATGCCCTCCCCTCAGTGCGGTCTTGGTCTTTGGCTTCGACTTGCTGGGGTCATGGGTGGGTGTGGATTTCATTCTTTTAAGCAACAGAATGTTGTCTCTCTGGGATCAGAGGCTGCAGCGAAGCCTAAGACCCTATCACTTCCCTCTAGGGAGAGCTGGTACCACAGGGGTCAGACCCAGTTACGGGTCTGAATAATGACAAGGACTGTAAAAAGCAGTCCAGTTTGAAGGCACTTGAATTCCTTTAATAGACTGCATACTGCTTTCAAATACCTACTACAGCACTTGTCAAATGCGAAGCCAGTCTAATTGTGCTCCTGGCCTAAACTCCTCCACAGCCTCTCCGCAGCTTTCAGGATCAAGTGCAGACTCCTAACCTTAAACGCTCTCAGAACGCTCCCTGAAGCTTCCCGGCCCATCTTCCTCCACGCATCCCTTCACCATCTGTCCACTGACCTGCCTGAACTTCCCTGCAGGTCCCCACATCCTCGTGCTAGCAGGCTGCTGCCACGGTCCCTTCTCTCTCCCTGCAAACCCCACAAGCACACACCTGGGTAATTCATTCGCCTGGAGTATCAACGCCTCTGGGGACTCCCCACCCCTTCCTCTGTTCTCAGAGCCCCTGTACCTGTTCCCACCACAGACATCACGAGGGGCCATGACATCTTCTTAGCTCTCTCCCTCCCACCACCTGGGGGATAAGAGCAAGACTGGGTCTCCTCACTGGAGTCCCCAGGACCCTGCAAGGCTCTGGTTCAGAGGAAGCAGTGGGTGAATGACTACCCACTGTACAAGCATGAACAAACAAATAGGAGCAAGCTGCTGCCTTAGAAAGCACTCCATCGGGAGCTGGGTCCTCATCCCTCACTTTTCATCCCTGTACATTTATTTGTACAGAGACAATGAGACCTACGTGGACTGGTTCAACTGGGATATTTAAAGATTTCCTTAGTATGAATATTAAGTAGAGGGCTTATTTTTTTTTTTTAAAAATGCTCATTCAGAATGCACCTGCCAATGATGAATTAACTAAAGAACCCCCCGGGTTTTATTCAAAGGTGTCCATTAGCTTTTCCCCTTTCTACACAGGCACAGCGCTCCCACTGCAACCGGCCGGCAAACCCTTTCTTCCCAAGAGAGCTTACAAAGAGAGCCATCTGTGCAGTTCTAGGTGAAGCCGCTGCCCGCCTATCTTTCTGGAGCGTGAATCACTGAGGCTTCCCCAGCCCCTCCTCCTTGCGGGGTTTCCATGGGAATCCTCCCACGCCTGACTGAGCCAGAAGCCCCCAAGGCGGACGCTCAGGCTGTCAGCCAACAAGAGCAGGGGATGGGATGAAGGAGGTTTGCTGGCCAGCATGCTCTGCAAGGTCATTTGAAAGAGACACACCTTCCTGGCAGGCCTGGTCATCGCTGCAGCGGCCCCTGTGCCCAGAGGGCTGTCCCAGGCACATGTACAGGACAGCTGGCCTCTGTGAGGCCCAGCATAGCTCGAGCTGGAGCAAAGCTGGAGGTAAGGGGATGGCGGGGGGTCTGGGGGTGATGCATAATGGGATTCTCTTGGGAAGACCCTATGAAGAAAACAAATTTCTCTCCCAAGATGAACTTTGTCCAGTTGGTATAACTGGTTGTCTGAAAACCTGGGATGCCTGAAAGAAAAGTGACCCTGTTCAGCCTCAGACTTGATCTAGGATATCACAATGGGAACCCACTGGGATTTCTGAAGGTTCCTCAGTTACGCCTGCAGGGTCTCTGGGATCAGTTCTGAGACTCGAGGAGGAAACTAGAGAGGAAGAGAAGATGGTGAGGAAGTGGGGAGACAGGGACACCCAGAGGGAGGCAGCGCCAGGTGGAAGGGAACCATTAGGCCCCAGGAATCTGCGTGACTTGCGTATCTCACAGTGTGTGGCTGACAGGTAAGAAGTCTTTGTGGCCCAGCTAATTGGATTAAGCCTCACTTTTTCCTGGAGAAAGCAGAGCCAGGCGCGTGGTTTTGGAGCAGCTCTCTTCCTTGGACATACCAGCACATGGAAACGTAGGGCTCACAGCAGCTTCCTGCTGCCTTCTGGCTGCAGGGTCCACCTTGCCTGTCCCAGAAATGGGATGACTTTTAGGTCACACCTTAGTCTCTGCTCAGAGCTCTCTCTTTCCATGTGTCTTCTGTTAACACTGGCAATTCCAGCCCTTGCAGATTCTCCCAAACTGGGCCTCTAGCCCTGCCTTCTCTCCTCAGCACCAAACCACCTACTTGAAGCCTCCGGCCACCCCAGACTAAGGCTCCTTCAAATGACCTTGTAAAGCCAGCTGGCTTCCTTCTGCCACAAGCCTCCCCCTGTAGGCACACCTGTCCTCTCCTGATGTCAGACACGGAGGCACCCACTGGCACCTCGGAATCCACAGGGCCGACCCTCAGCCTCTTCCCTCTGCGGCATGCTGGGTTCTTCTCTGCACACCCATTTCTGCCACGGGTCCCCCATCTCTGTCTCCCTCACTCAATATCTTCAACTTCCCTTGCCTGGATGACCACAATGGTCTCCTTACAAGGCTCTGGGATCCCAATCTACCCCCACCCAAGCCACCTTCCCCACCACCAAGGGGTAAATCCAACCAACATGCCCACCAGTCTACTCTTTCAACTCTCCAGGTGGCTTCTCCAGGGAGAAGTTGCACACCTTAGCTTAGCACAGGTGAGTCCTGAAAACCTGCTCTGCCTTATTTCTCCCGTGCCCAACCTCCCAGCATGGCCCCCTGCAGACCAGTCACACCAGACTTCCAGGGCACCACATACCCTGGTATCCTGGGGCCCTCCCACCTCCCCTTGCCTGGCCGACACTCGCTGACCCCTGTCCCAGACCCAAGCGGGCCAGGCAGCCTCCACAGCAGCCCTCCACCCCCCTGCATCCATCTTTGAAATAAAACAGAAACACAAACTGGAGAGATATTTGAGTGGAATGACGGGCAAGTTGAATTTTGTTAGTTGTTTGCCAAAGGTAGCTTAAATGTCATTTATCACCACTTTTTAAGGAAGTTTAAAAAAGGAACCAATCTGAGGGCTATGCCCTTGTGTAAAGCATGTTTATACCCTGCCACTGACACTTCGTCTGTCCAAGAACTCCATTAATCAGCAGGACTTAAACAAACGAAGGGTTTGGGGGAGGAAGAGGGATTCCTCATCAGCCTGAGTGAAAGCTGAAGGATTTGGTTGGAGGGCAGAGGCGCCAAGGTGCCAAAATCTAGTGCCCTGATCTCCTCTTCCGAGGGTGCAGGGTGCAGTGACCAGCAGGGAAGAGGGTGGGCAGATGCCCCATTCTCCTCTTAACAGTGTTTATTCCAGGTTCACGCATATCATTTCAAGTCTTCCTGATTTAGGCTCATCAGATTGAGGGGTGGGGGCAAAGATTCCTAGACAGGGGAGAATTCCTTCCTTATCAACCCCTCCCAGCCTCCCCTGGGAGGGGGAAGGGGAAAAAACGAGGAAAATGAGGTGGGAGAGATCAGAGTACTTGCCCAAGGTCACACCACAGGCGGATGGTGGAGGCAGAATTTGAACTCAAGCCTGACTCCAGAGCTGAGAGCCCTCCGTCTCCTAGTGAAGGCGGCACAGAAGCGCCCTCCTCTTCCAGTCTGCAGCAGCCCTTGACCCGTGCTCGGACGGTCCGGAGGTGGGAGCAGCCACCCCCCTCCCCGCCGCCCCACGCCGCCCCGGCTTCTCTCACTAGGAACAGGTTCTGGGCCCTGCGTTCCCTTCTGGCTTGGAGCCCGTGGAGTGTTCTGTGCTACCCGGACTGACGGGTTTGCCGCGCTCCAGTCTCTGGCCTCCCTCCTTCCCAGACTCCCACCCCCAACCCCTTACCCTTGACTCCGGGAGCCCACGACCCCCCCCCTTCCTGAGCATAGCCAAGTTTGTCTTCAAGCAAGGCCAGGAACTATCCCAATCACCCCAGCGTGAATAAAAAAAAGGGGGAGGGGGGAGGATGACAGCTTCCACTTCACCAGCGCCTACTGCGTGCGCACTGGCGCTTAACTTCCACCTCTCGGAATCCCCCAACCCCGATGAACAGGCCCCCACAACTTATGGTCCCCATTACATAGATGAAGGAGATGCTGCAGCTCCAGAAAGTTGGACGGCGCGCTTGGGCTCACACCGCTGATGATAATGCGTTAACATTTGATTGAGTGCTCCTACGTGCCAGGCACAGGTCTACACACGCTACAAGCGTACATCCTGCCAATGCCCCTAAAAGCTGGTACCAATATCCCCTCTTACACTGAGGAAATCGAGGTTTGGCGACTTGCCCAAGGTCACCACCCACCCAGGGAACGAGGGATCTTGGATCCAAACTAAGGCAGGGTGACGGCGGCCGGGGATGGGGGAGGGGTCGAGGAGAGCAATTTTTTGTGTGTCGTCTTCACTACTAAGAGAAGTAGCAGACTTCGAACCTAAGGTTCCATGGGCGGGACCCAAACGTCCCCAAAGCTGTGCGCAAACAACCCAGCTCCAACTGCTACAGCCGGCAGAGAGGAATGCCCAGGGACCCGCACGGGACCCAAGCCACGAGCGCCAGCCAGCTGTGGCGAGTGCCGGCTCGCACGATGTCCACACAACCAGATCTCGGTTCCGGGCTCCCACGCGCCTCAGGGCGCCCCTCACCAGAAGCTAGAGAATACTCACCATAAAAGAAAGGGCGAGCGCCTGCCCAGGAGGAATCGCCGGCACTGGCAGGTCCTGGACTCTCGGGAGAGGCGTCTGCCGCCTCCGCCCACTCAGGGGCGCCCGATCTACCCTGAAGATGCAGGCTCGCTGCCTGGGGCCAGGGGGTTCGTCCTCACTGCTCGTGCCCAGCAGCAGCGCCCCCTCTGCCCCCGAAGGGTGGCCTGGAGTTGGAGCGTTCTTGGGGAAGTTGGCGCTCGGGAGCAGGGGGAAGGTGCGAGAGGTCGGGTAGGAGTGGGGAGGCGCCCTCCTGCTCGGATCCCTGGGACTTGCAGAGGCTCTTGCTGTACCCGCTTCGAGGCTCCGCTCTGGACACCGAGGGCAGCTAGTCCAGAGCTCCGGGCTCACGGGCCGCGCCTCGGCCGCCGACCCCTGGCACGCCCTGCGTCTTCCCCCGCGCCATTAGCGCAGGCAGTGGTGGCTGGAGCTGGGGCCCGGGCCTGGGCTACAGTGCGCTCATCGCCCTCCCCAGGGGTTGGGCGCCTTTGTGCACCGGGAGTGCCGGCCGCCTCGGCCAGCACTGGATGCTGCAGCGGCTACCACCTCCCCCTCCTTCGCTGCCGCCCGCTCCCCGCCTTCCCGGGCTGCCCGGAGGCTGCAGCTGAAAGCCGATCCGGCTGAGCTCATCCCTGAAGGCCACTAATCCAATAGCCGCTGAAGGCGCGGCCTCGGGGAACGCCCCTTCCCCCACCATCCCGCGCCCCGGCCCGGCCCGTCCCAGCAGCTCCGGCCGCTGCTGGCGCCGCCACCTTCCCGAGGCCACCAGCTGGCGAGAGGGGGAAGTGGAGCCCGCGCCTGCTCCCCTGTGCTGAGTCGGTGGCGCGGTCGCCATTCACCCTCCCGCTCGCCTGCTCGCTCCCTCACTCACGCGCTCATTCATGAGCGTGGGTCCTCCCCCATTCATTCAAGTGCGCCTGGAACACCAGAGTGGGTATCCCTGAGGGGGGAGGAGACACCCACAGTCATTCCGGAGCTTTGGTGTCTTTACCCAAAGCACGTGCGAAATAGTGTGGGGGGGGGGAGGGTGGAGAGGATGGTTTAATATCCTCTTACTTAGACACACATCCACACTTTATTTTTAAAGATGAAGCTCCAACTAATCTCTTGAAGTCCAATTTCATACCGCACTTGCTTGACTGGGCCTTCTGGCCCACCCCAAGTGAAGGGTAACGGTATCTTCCCTGCCAGTTACCTGCGCCCCTTGGTGAGCCGCAGCTTTTGGAGTTAAGCCGAGAGATAAAGAAGAAGGCGTGGCCCCAGTGGAGGTCAAAAGGGTGCTTCTAGCGTCTGTGCTTTCTTGGGGAAATTGAAAGTTCCTATTCTGGAGGCCCTTGCCTGTGCTTCCAGACTTGACTTCAGTTCCATTCCACAGTCAGTTGGTCCGATTCTCCCGCCCTACCTCTATCACCGCCAGCCCTCTCTGGGCCAAGCACCAAAAAGCCTAGATACAGAGCTCCCATTTCATCCGGGACACAGACAAGTAAAGACAATCCAACTCGGTGAGGGAAATACTTTGATGGAGGCTGTGGGGCTCCTTTCCCAGACTGGGAAGAGCCATCTGGGAATGCTTCCTAGTGGAGGTGGTTACAGAAATCAGCCCCTGAGACAAGGGGACAGGATGGTCACTTGGGTCACCTACCACAGCACAGAGCCTGTGGTATGACTGGACCAGAGGTGGTGAGATGAAGCTGGAGGGATAGACAGTGGCTAGAGGCTTGGCGGCCACCCCAAGAGTTTAGCTTTTTTCCCCGAGATCATTTGGGGAAGCCTTTAACCAGGATAGTGGCATTGTCAGATTTACATTCTAGAAAGATCTCTCCACACCAGAGTGGACGGACAGAGGAAACCAGCTTGGGAGCTACTGATAGCCCAAGCAGAGATGACGATGCTTCAAGAATTGGGGCAGTTGTGGTGGGGTGACAGACAGTGTTTTGATCAAGTATCTTCTGCAATCATTCTACTGTTCTGTCATTGCATTTGTACATCTGGCTCCCTCCTAATACTGTGAACCCCCAGGAGGGCAAGTACCTGTACTTTATACATCCCTGGACCCCCTGTATCCAGCCGAGAACAGATGTTGAGCAAATGTAATTGAACTGACCTGAGTGGCAGTTCAGACCTCCCTCACACTTACTCTCTTTCCAGGGATCTCCACAGCAGTCTTTCCTCACTCCTGTCACGGAGCTCCTGGGGCACCCGCCCAGCAAGCTACTGTGCGGTCAGTGGATGTGGTTGAGGAGCAAGGAAAGAGAATCTGAGGGAAGAAGATCAGAAGCAAAGAGGAGTTTAAAGAAGACTGTCAAGAGAGTAGTTTTCCCACCTGGACCCAACCCAGACTGGCTGATGTGGTGGACCAGGGTATGCCCATGGCTTCCCCTCCTCCCCAGAAAACATTACAGCAGCTTCAAGCACTGGATGGAGTGGGAGCACTGGCCACAGTTCGAGAAACTACCTTCTCCCTCTCTTGGGGGCTCTACATAGGCTCACCACACTGGCCCCTCCAAATGACACTGCCTCAATGGAGGCACCATGGAGTGTCCACCATAGTACCTCAGCGTCCCCGTAGGCCCCAAGTATACCAGCCCCTGGGTGTCAGGGGAAAGAACCTGCCATCTGGGGAGGAACCAGGATATCCTGTCTGTGAAAACTCAGCAGGTTAGGGTGAGTAGCCTCTGAAAGGGCTCCCAGTGATCCCCAACTCTTGGTTTCACACCCTGGTCGAACTCCTCCCCTTAGGTGTGGGCTGGACTTGTTGACTTGCTTTTTACCAACAGAACCCCCTGGAAGTGATAGGATGTCCCTTCCAAGATTAGATTATTGAAAAACTGTGGCTTCTGTTTGAGCATTCCTGAGTTTGGTTATCTGTTATAGTGTTACCTAGTAGGTGCTCAATAAGTGTTTTTCTTCTCGTGAAGACCTGCAGTGCCCTCGGAATTCTCGAGCTGAGGCAAAGTCATGCCTGGAGCAGGAGGTCCACTGTGGGCCACGCAGTGAGGGGTGGAGAATTGCTACGTATATTGCAAAGCTGGGTACCCCACCACTGCTTGCTTCTTCTCCCAACAGGAGTAGTTTATAACCTACTTACCAGGCCTTAGGTATTGCAACCTCATTCTCCTTTTCTGTCTTCCACAAGGATCAACTGTGGTTTAACAGAAGTCAAGGAAAAAGTCCTCAATTCTGAGAAATTTTTGAGACTGAAGCTGCTTTGAGGACGTGCATGCCACGGAGGAGAATGGCAGTGTGTGAGGTCTGCATGTCCCTGCCCCCTCCCTTCTTTTCTTCTTTTGACCTCAACCTACAGTGTGGTGTTGCCCACAAGGTGCTCATCTCTCAGATCTTGTTCCTCTTAACAGCTCAGGCACCACCATGTTTTTCTCCAAGCGCTGCAGCAGCTCCCTCCCCTTTCCCTTACTGACAGAGCTGTCTTCATACAGTAACATCTCCTCTGCAACTTCCTTCAGAGGTACCCCATGGCCCACAATGGTCTTCCTACTTCTTAGCTGAATCTGGCTCCTCTTTACTAGTCTCACTCCACCCACATCTATTCTCTGGGTGAGGCCACATTGAAATCTTTTACGCAACTCCAGTGAGCCAAACTCTTTCTCACTGCTGAAGGCGTTTGCACACACTGACTTTTCCGCCTGGTACAGACTCCCCAGGGAACTCTGATTCACCCTTCAGCACTCTGTCTGTGTGCACAGGGTCTGCCCCAGGGAGTCCCCTGACACCCTAGGCTCACCTGCTTCCCTCCCTCAGGGCTCCAGTTCCGCTGTTGCTATTGCCTCTTTTCCTGCCACCCCTTGCTCCCAAGATGTAAGTGTTTCTAGGTAGGGCTGTCTTATTCATTGGTATAGTCTGCACTCCCACTTACATTTTTATCTTAATAATTTCTTAGAAGTACAAAGCTCCCCAGTCTTCCCAAGTAGCCCTGGGCGGGTAGGGGGCTCCCTCGCTGAGCGCTCTGTAGAGCTTGGCTGCCTCTACTCTGTCATAAGGCTTTGCAGTGCCTTTGGAGATTGGCTGACTCCTGCAGCAGCCAGTGACTCGGTTAGAACAGGCCTGCGTCTGATTCATCCCAGCGCTCTGGATGGCACCTAACCTCGGGCCAGGCACACAGCAGACATCTAATAAATGTTTATGGAATAAATGATTGAAGATGAGCAGAAGGAGGGAAAGATAAAGGTTGGAAGGAAGAAAGGCTGGCTCCACTGGAATTTCCCTTCCTTCCTTCCTTCCTCCCTTTTTTCCTTCTGATTTAATACATTGAATGCTGATAATTGGATTATTTACGGTCCTGGGTTCATTACACACTGTCATCATTAACCCATGCATGGCCCTTATTTATTTTTACATTTACTCATGATATAATTAACACCCACAAACCTACAGTCCAACCCAAGGCCCCTACATCTCCATATGTGCTCCTTATCTAGCCCATCTTTTTGTGTCCCCTTCACATATTAAGGTTTATCACTTCCTTGGATTGTGTTGTTAATACACACACACATATATGTTAGGCATATATATGTGTATATATATGCCTAAACATTATTTTATTTAGTTATAATTTTTTAAACTTTATTAAAATATGCTACACTGCATATTGTTGTCCAGGACTTGCTTTTTTGGATTAACTAGACTCATCCCTGTTGATGTGTATTACTGTGGCCCATTCACTGTCATGGCCTATAACAATAGTTCATTAGGTGAACAAACAGAATGTTAAAAAATTATTTATGACACTGTTAAAATGACAAGGAAGGCTCCACTCAGGGGTTGTAGTTGGGGAGAGACCATGCTCCACTCTGAAAACAACAAGGACAAGCAGGAATTCCTAGCCAAGGAGCAGGAGTAGGGGAGGGGTCAGTGGATAGAAAATTACTGAGAACAAACACCAGGGTAAGGGAGGATTCTGGCTAAACTGACCTAACTGCGTTCTTGCTAAAGGCCGGCCAGGGTCAGAGATGAGGAATTTGATAGGATATCGAGTGTGGTCCAATGCCAAAGGGTGGCAGATTTTCACTAAACTGACTTAGCAGGATTCTTGTTCAAGCTGGATTGTGCAAGGACAGAGGGAAGTCCAAAGTCAGGTCTGGTCAAACAGGAGCCCGATTAAAATTTGGCCAAAGGAGAGAGTCTTTATCAGCAATATATCTTCTATGCTCCACTCAAGGGGCATCTGGATCGGTTTTTAGCGTGGGGCTGTTGTGGACAGCGCTGCGGTGAACAACCTCAAACAGGTCCCTGGGTGCATCTGTGCTAATGTTTTCTTAAGTCTGTTCTTCAGAGTGGAATTGTTGATTCCACTAGCATGTGCTGGTCTATCCAAATGAAATGCTAAAAACTGTTCCACTCCTCCACATTATATGCCATCAGGGAAATACAAATTAAAACAGTGAGAAACCACTACATACCTATGAAAACAGCTGAAATCCAGAACACAACAGCATCAAATGCTAGCAAAAATGTGAGGCAACAGAAACTCTCATTCACTGGCAGTGGTTTTACAAAGTAGTACAACTACCTGGGAAGACAGTTGGATAGTTTCTTATAAAACTAAAGTACTGTTACCATA